CCTTTAGTAAACTGTCTCCAAAAATACTATGCTTTAGCAACATGAAGACTAATGTTATAATTATAAGACTAACTGTATAAGAATCACTGAATTCTTTTACCTTGACTGTAGGCTACTCTTACAGCATCATCTTTTCCTCTATCACCTTTAATTTATTACATTTATTTCTGTGAGTCCATCAAAGAGGAGCTACTCAGACCAGAAACGCCTTTCCACGGCGTTCAAAGCACCAGAGAACAGAAGAAACAAAGAGCTGGAGACTAAAGGCATTTATATAATTTGGTGAATATTAAAGATGACATATTTACAGATAATCTACTGAAAATAATAAATCATTAGGCATGTCTTATTGATACTTATGCATGTATTCATATATACTGTCCCACCTTACTACTAAACTGATAAATTATACAGAGAAATTTGGAACAATTTGTGATCTCTTGAAAATATATTCTCCAGACTGAACGATAAAGAATCTTTGAAGAAATCTTTGATTCCTACATCATACATAGAAATTTAGCTTAAGAAATAAGTTCAGAAATTGGAGAACTGATGATTTTAAGGGGTTAAGGAGAGTTTTTCCCCTTATGTAAGGATATAAGTGATGAAAATACATATCTAAAAATCAATTACGGAGATGAAAGGAACAACTGCCTAATGTCACAGCTGAGTACACAGCGGCTACGCAGGTGATGAGCCAAGATGATGGGCTATTAAACAAAGCATGTTGCCCTCGAAACACCCACTTCACCTGCTTCATTGACTTACACTCTGCCACTGTATTATTGATTCTTTAGCGTAGACACTGGTTTGATTAACCTCTATTTTCATTATTTGTTTACTACATAAAAGCACCCAGATCAGCTACAGGTCTGTAATCCATAAAGCTAGTTGTTAATTCACAGAGAATACCTACCAAAAAAAAGCACATTGCAAATATCAAGACAGAAAACAAATCAACAAATAACTAGCTAATACTGAACTATTAGTATTACTACTTCTAAAATATTGGTGCATATGAGCAGTGTCTTGAGCAATGCAAATGCATCACAGAACCCTGTCTGAAGAAAACGCACGAGAGACGCTTCCAGCCACCCCTCTGCAGTTCATGCCGAGTGAGAGAGCTGTTCATGCAGTCCCTTCCCCAAGGGAAACCATTATGAAAATTCATGCTAATCAGCAATTTTATGGCCACACTCAAGAAATTAAAAGTCACTGAGAACCTGCCCTCTAAAAAACATACCAACCACACATAAAACTATGGCTTATATTTCTCCTGTGAGGACAACAACTACCCATTTTCTCAAGTATTTAAATAATTCAAAGAAAATAAGCCCAGCCAAGTTAAAACAGAGGCACTGATAAACAGAATATTGGCATAATCATACTGGGGTGACCATTCAAACCCCCTCCTCCCACCTTCTGTCATCTGCGCTCATCACAACTAGCAATCAGATCACAAGTTGCTGAGCAAAAGCCTAATGTTGATCCTCTTACAGGGAAGAAGGCAATGCCAGCAACCTTGGAACTGGCATCTAACCATTATGATTTAGGCTGGTTTTATTAACATTTTTACGTGGGGAACCTGAATGTCAAAACATAGAAACGATTTCTTCAGGAACAGAAATTCACGTGTAAAATCTGGGACAGTGCTGAGGAATTCTGATTCCTTTGAATGTCCACTCAAAACAGACCAGGGCAAACTACCTCACTCTTTATACAAAGTGAAAGAAAATATTTTTTGTGACTTCAGTGCAGGAACTTACCAACTCCAGTTCATATCAAATGTAATACAGATAGTCGTTATTTTGATATTCACCCATGAGCTTCCCTGCTGCTGACAATCAGGTTTTATAAACAGTTTAACAAAATGGTGTCCTCTGATCAACAGTACCTCAAGCACCTAGATGGCCCTTTGATATTTTAAATGTACATTAGATAAAGTGAGCTCTGGAATGAGAAATGACCTGCAGGACTTGACGTGAATTTCGGAGAAAAGCTGCAAATAGGAATGTGAAAACTGTATCAGGTCAGGCCAACAGTCCATTCTGTCTTTGATAGCGTCCAACAGTACATGCCAAGGAAAAGGGCAAGCACGTTGGGATACTTCCCTGGCACAACTTCTAGAAGACCGATGGCTCTTGGGTCTTCCTGAGCCTTTAAGCAGCATCTTCATGTTTAATAGTCCCTGATGGACTTCCCTACCATAAATTTGCCTTACATGTTTGCAAATCCCTGTAAGCTTTTAGGAATCTGTGACATTTCCAATGAAGTTTAAGACTACATTAAAATATTTCTAGTTTTGAAACTGATGCCTATTGGCTTAATTTTCTTTCTACAGGTTTTGCATTAGAAAAGACCATGCGGAATCACTGTCCATTCAACTCAGTTTTGCACATCATCCTATAGGTTTTTGTCATTATTTCCCCAATCTCCTTATCCCATGAGCTTGCCTTCCAACTTTCATTTTATTTTATATGGAAGAATTTCAGACTTGTGAAAAAGTTTGTCGCATTTTTCCATACCTATTACAGCTTTACTGTACCGCTTCTGAGAGGTGGTAGCTGCTAGAGCTGCAGACCCCTTCCAAGCAGTGACAGAGTTATGGTGTCCATTTCCAAATGGTTACCAAATCTTACTCGATTTCGACTCCTGCTGAGCACAAAGCACTGAGGTTTCATAGAGCATCTGTTGCGACTCCAACGTCTCGCTCATGAACAGCAGTCACTTTTACTCTGTCTGAACATTCAGTTTTATCTCACGTGTCAACACGTGTCTATCATTTTACTGCTCTCAGTTAGAATTCAAAAGTCCTTCTGCAACCTCACAATCATTTTTACTAACCCAGATAACTCAGTATGAACAACAGATTTTACTACTCCACTATCTGCTCCCTTTTCCAGATTATTTACGACTATGTTGAACAGCACTGACCTTCACATAAATTCCTGTACAACCCTTTTAGGCCAATCCATTGAAAAAGACGGCAATTGATTCCTACCTTTTCTTTCCTATCTTTTCTCTGGGTATCCATCCATCTGAAGGTTGTAACCTTTATCTCACAACCGCTGAGTCTTCTAAGAGCCTTTGATGAAAGCTCTTGCCCAAACGCCTTTTGGAAATCCAAGTTCATCAACCTCTCTTGCTTTGGCCAGGCATGGTCACTTGGATCCTCCAAAGACTCCAACAGATTTCCAAGGCATGATGTCCCTCCATAAAAAATGATCATAAAATCATAGAATCGTTTAGGTTGGAGAAGACCTTTAAGATCATCACGTCCAACCGTTAGCCTAACACCCATCCCACCACCTAACCATCCCACCACTAAGCCATGATGCTGATGGTTCTCCAGTGCACCATATTTATTCCTGTTCCACTCACTCTAGTCTTTGTTATTCTTCCCATTGATTTGATCAACATGCACATCAACCTTAGGGGCTCCTCTTGGAGCCATTCAGATTTCGGCTACAGGCAGCACTGCCCGGTCCCATCCTCCGATGCCGTCTGTAGCACATGGTTCCATGGCACACTCAGCAGCCCAACTGTTTCATGTCCGAATCCCTCTGTAACTCCTGGATAAACACCATCTGATCTTGCCATTTTCCTATTATTCAATTTATTTTTTACCTTCTACCACGACTTCAGCTGGAAACAGCTCCTACAACACTTTCCTCCAAAAAGCAGCAATTCATCATGACAACCTCCCTAAGGTCCTCTTTGACAAATACGGGGTTTAGTTTTTTCATGACAGCCTTATCTTCCCTGAGCTCCTTTCACACCTTACTTCGCAGACATATAGACTCCGTGGCAGGATCCTGGTGGGTTGAGAAAGAATTTACTGCTACTTTTTATATCTTTTGCAAGTTGATCCTCGAAATCTTTTTTTGGGCGGGCTGCTTTGCCGCGGTGTTACACTGCCGGTGCCCAGGTCGTTTCCTCATTTAGATGCAACTTCAGTCACGTTGACGGATGAGCCTGTGCTTCTGCCACCCCTTTTCCTGCCTTTTTTGTAAGCACCCCAGCTTATTTTTGCTTTTTCAAAACTACCGTTTGTTTTTTCTTCTTTTCCAGAATTCCCACAAAAACTGTGAGGTTTGAGCAAGCGCGAAAGACACAAGCTGAAGGAAAATCCACGCGGCGTGCGCCTCGGGGGAGCTCAGCTCTTGCTCTT